TTAAACACTGATTATTTAGGCGAGTGGCTTCCTTGAAATTTTACGATTAGTCGCTTTCAGAGTTGAACAGAAACGTTGAAAACGAAGCGTTGCCAGACACGCGTTGACAGGCTGGAGAACGTCGGTTGACAACGTTGGTCGCCCGGCAAGAGTCTGTTGACGCCGTGCGCGCCGCCTCTGGCTGCGTTCAGACTTCAACCACCGACCGACCGACCGAACGAGGGCTGGGACAACGCTGGAAAGATTGCGTTCAAGGCCGCGTGACCGTGAGGGCGCGTGATCTATTTTTTTCCTGCATTGTAACACCGGACGTGGCCAGCGCCAACGTCGGTAGGTCGGTCGGTCGTCGGTTGCATCGTTAAGTCTGAAGGCACCCTCTGACGGCCTCTACGCTTAAGCATCTTATTTTCCAAGCGGTGAACAAATCCACACAGTATACACAAGCGCATCCTATAAGACATCGAACCGTCTTCTACTTCCTTGAGTATCTTGGAATGAGTTTCCTTCGAATCTATTGAACTGATTTCTTAGGCTCCACGTACGGGCTTCCATAAGCCTCGGTATGATTGCACATTAATGAGGTTGTGTCTTGCATTCTCTCGAGGTGTGATCAAAACTTTATAAGCTATTGTTTGGAAGCATCGCCTTTTTGTGAGCCTGAAATGGATCAGAAACAATTTAACATATTCTAGGGCAAAGATCCACTTTCCTACAGATACCCTTCTATTAATCCAGGACAGGCACCAATCTACCCCTTGCTCGCTCGGTAATGAAAGCGTCAAATCCTTTGCTTTTCCGTCACTTATCTGACATGTGGCAATAAAGCTGGGAATTAAGCGTACTGCTCATTTCATCGCCCCACCAAATTTTTGCAGCAGTCCTGTACATCTAGGAAAGGGGCGAAAAAATACTGTATGAAAATTTCAAAAACGTTAGATACAGCTCAATATTGCGAGCTTGTACGAAGGAACATGAGCATGTTGTTGAAATGTCGAAATGTTTGAATCGCATTCTCGTTCAGTTTGTTAAACTTTGGTGGCAGTATTTAGACGTGTTATGGGAGTTCTGTCACATCTTTTATCGATATGCATCGGCGCTTATGGTGGAGCATATCTCGCTCAGAACTATGAGGTGAGTTACTCACAAGATGCCTAGTTACTGTGATTGGACCACATGTTCACATATATGGACGTTTTCATTCACTAATGTTCCGGCAGATTGCAATGTCACCCATTCCCCATGTATTCATATATGTGGTTTCTGAACGACATTTTATGCAAGTGACTGGTGAAAAATCGCTGCCGCAGAAAACCGACCACCAGCTTTGATGTCAAGCGGCTCCGTTCATACTCCGCGCCTTCCAATAAAAGCTATGAGGGGCAGATGTTAACTGGCTAAGGGTGTAGTGGCAATTGACGCACTTGACACAGGCGTGGTCATAGGTTCGAATCCCGTATCGTTGCCCTCCTGGGCCCACCAAGCTTTCCATCCCTATGGGTGGGTTGCTTGGTACCAGACACGTGTGGGAGCATAAAAACACTGACTTCCACATCGGCGGGCCACCTCAACTTATTGTATAGGCCACATACTCATCCATTACTCATCCACTAAGATTCTGAATGAAAGTCGAATGCGTGGGCGTATCCCTCTGGCGGGATTGACTGTCGTCCCAAAATCTAGGTTAGGTGGTAATGCGTTGGAAGAGTAATCGTTGAGAAGGTCTTTACATGTGGAGCTGAAGGCATCTTCCACAGCAACGAGGTAATCTTCTGTTNTGTTGTTCAAGAGATTGAACTTTGCGAGTATTGTTGAGTTGCTGCCACTGCGCTTGCTTATGCTTATGCAACTTGAGTTATCCAAATCACCGTTACAGATTGGAAAAGTTCCATCGATGTCAGAGCTTGCGAAGAGATTAGAAGGCTATTTGCAACAGTACAAGAAGCCCGAACGATGACTATGGGTTGCCTCAAACGAACGGAAACCAGTGCTTCGCGAACGGATAGTTGTAGTATGCCATGTTTTCAAAGTGTATTGTGTCTATTGTACAAATAGATTGTTATTGGCATCAATTAGAACAATAACTGTGTGAGAATCGTGGTGAAATAAACGAGATTGAGCTACTGCGTTGCCAATTTTGATTCTAACATATATCCTGCTTTTCATCGTCGCATCTAAGGCGAAAGCACCGGAAACAACGGTTGCCTAACGGTAACGGATGCAAGTTAAACTTTTCGGGTTAAAGGGAGGAATTAAATTAGTTAACAGGATTAAGGAGCAGTTAATTCACCTCGTAAACTCCTAAAAGGCTACTACGCTCGAAAAATCATTTTTCGATTGAACCAGTGAACTGTGGAAGGTGAAGGTGGTTCAGCCATCATAGCCATTGGATAGGTAATACCCTCCCTTGTCAATTCGATAAAATTATGCTGCTACTTCATACGTGGTTTTCAGTTCAACCTAGGAGTTGAAGTTTGCCGAAACAACACACGGGTTTGAGCTCACTTTAAAAGACACAGCCTCCTGCCGGTGTCTAGGAACTGGAGATATATTCCAAAATCAACGAAGTAGAACTAGCCGTCTCTATCTTCTCCCCACGTAAGTGTTAAGTGCATCTGCTCTTATGTTGGATAAGTTCCCTTTGCTAACTGTCATGTTGCCCCTACTCAAGGAGACGACAAAGTGTGAAGACAATTCCTTAATTCGGGAATCTCCGTTTCCAACCGCTCTCATACTAAGTTTACGAAGCTTTTCATTACTGCTGAGCCTACTGTTTGGGAGCAGGAGCTCAGCTAATGAAAATAATATTAGTGAGCTAATCCCATATTCTAACAGGCGTAGATTTCGACATTCTTTAATTAAATCAGTTCAAGTGCACTGCACATCACACATCAAGTAGCGAAATACATTAGTTGTCTGCGAGATGTCGTCGATTATTTTTCCTCGTTTTTCGGTTTCTTCTCGTCGTTCTTCTGTAAACGAAAACATGCTGATGTGCAAAGCCAAATAAGGGAAACCATACCTTTTCACCACCCGGAAGATCATCAATTATTTGCTGAAGCAGTTCCGGGTTGTTGATCAATTCATCAAGATTATCCTGAAATTGAACTAAGCTCAGGAACGATAAGAAAGTGCGAAAAGCTCCGAAATAGTTACCACTTGCGCTGTGCTCACGTCCATCACTTCATCTGTGGGCTGAGCTTGAGATGGCTGAGCAGTTGGTGCTAAAAGCGAGCAAGTAATGATAAGTCCTTTTGGCCGGACATTTTCTTTTGAGAAACCTGGCACAGAATCTTGCATAGACATGCGCAGCGCCCATTCTAATTGTTGTTCCTCTGTCATTTCTCCCATTTCCATATCCATTACGTCAACATTCTAAATTGTATGGAATACCATTGCTGCAAGCATAGCGTAAGTCATGCCACAATACCTGAGCTTGTTCAGTTCCTGCTGCAGGCTCAGCGGGAGCATTTCCACTAGCTGCGGCAGCTGCTGCGGCTTCGGCGGCTTGCCGAGCGCGCTCCTCTTCCATCGAGACACGAAGCGCCTGGAAAATACTACTCGAGATGTCGTCCAAGCTTTGATCGAATTACTAATAGTAGGTAAGAAAAAAAGCAAATCGCGCTATCTGAACTGACTAAAGCTAGGTCAGGATCGTCTTCAGGATCAACTCCAAACTCAAAACCGCCTCCTGCGCCAACGACCGGCGCATTACCACCATCCTCTCCTCTGCAGACAGCAGACGAAATTAAAGCCTCAGTGAGAACCGAACCCGCTGGCACCACGAGAAGATTTGAACCGCTACCCTCTCTGAAATCATGGAAAGTAATGTAGTGCATAAAGTTCACGATTACATTACACTTACTTTCCGTTCAAAGTATCCACGAACTGTCCCATTATCTGACTATTTTCCGAATCAGCTTCACCAAAACAAATGACGTCGCACTGAACTTTCTCCTTTTTTAACTTTTTGGCTATTTTCGTTAACTGAAAGAAAACACTACCGAGTCATAAATGAGATTCATTAATTTCTAATTCAAAAACACTTGTTTCGATTAACAACCTCAGCAGAGTCAAGATTATCTATCGGACTGCCAATAAACATCACAATACGCATCTTGTGGTTCCGATTCTGACGATGTTTCAATGCCAAATGAGCTATTTTGATGGCTGACATGAAGTTGCATATTCCCTAAACGATAAGTAAAGATCGTGCCTGCCAATTTAGTATATGGAGCCTTCTGTTACGGAATCACTTATAAATTAAGAATTCGAAAGCTCACATTACCAACTTTAATAAATAAAACTAACCAAACCTATCTCCTACTTGAAGGAATTATACCAAAATTCTGATTGAAGAAAAATCAATAATAAAACAATGTAAGTATCTGAATGGAGGTCATGGAAGTGGTCTCGATTCTCAAACAACCAGGCGATGATTCCCTTCAGGAAGCGATGAAAGCTTTGCCAGCAATAGCCGCTTAAGCGTGATAGACAATAACGCTGCAGTACCACTCATTGAGCCCATTCAACGCCAATTTTTGCCCATCTATGTGGTGCTAAAGCGAGCAAGTAACGATGGGTACCCTCATCAGGCATCTTCTTTTGTAAGACCTGGCTACAGAATACTGCATGTGATATGATTGTGTGGTGCAGTGATCTCGTACTTTTTGGAAACAAAGCCATCATCAGTTAATAGTCAGCAATCTGCTGTGAAATTAACCTTAGCCTCTCGTTGCATCATATCACAATGTCCCCGACATAAGCGTGACGACATATACCTTTGAAACAATAGAATCTATCTAACAAATACTGGATGACGTTGGAGTTCGAGGGAAAACAAGAAAAAGTCTTAGAACATAATCTGTCTTTCAACGAGTATGTTTAGTATGACGGATTGCGACTTTGACCCCGACAGATTTCCATAGCAAAAAAGCGATGGAATGTTCATGAGAAAAATAGTCATTCTAATATTGCTGAAGCTCCATCTTCTGCTTGAATTGCACCAAAAAAAGGTCAAAAACAAAACGAGTGTAATATGTTGTGAACAGTTTCTATCGTAAGATCAAGCATTTCTTGATAGTAATACTTTATGACAAATAAAACAACTTAACACTAACTCACTTGAGGTTCCAACTGATGCAATTTCATAAACAGTCGCCCAGCTTCTTGTGTCATAGTAGAAAGCACTTGAACTTGACTGAAACGTTGAATTCACCCTCTCATTCCCTACGCTTGCGATAAAATGAAATTTAATGCAAACTTAACTGTTTATAACAGTGAAATTATTCCTACTATTTTTTTGAATGAAAAACGTCGATGTTTTTCCAAAAAATTTTGACCCTCTGATGTGTTATACGTAAAAGCTACAAAACTGGTAGTCTCAGGAACGATAGAAAAAAAANNTTGCCTACCGTAACGGAAACTCCGAAAGTCCGATGAGAAAAAACAACGCAATTCCGATGAGATGGAAACCATACTTGGCCATCGAGAGAAGTCCTACTGCATTTTCTGGATTCGCGCGCAGCTTGCATTGCAGAATCAGGTTGGCGGCGTCCTGCTGGCATTGTAGCCGAGTAGGGACGAAATCACCGTTACGCATCCATTCCGAATTGTCCACACTAAAACAAGTATTGTTAACAACAAGTACCGGATCAGCCAGCATTAACACAACAATCCCTTCGCAAATAACATACCAGATCATAGTACTTTCCTGCACCATTTTGGATATCAGAACAGCTGCCCACTTCTGATAAGGCTGAAGTTATAGTGCTGAACAAAGATGACAAAGAACGTAACGACGAATGGAATTTAAATGAGAATGGAGATAGATAACAGTATGGCCAATAACCAATAGTGAAACTGCAACACTTATAGTAAAGGTTTATATTTCGAAATGATACCCGCATGAACTTAACAGAAAAACGGTTCCATCTCAAACTGATCTTGCTTTGTTTCTCATGAAATCAACAACAGGGAAGTTCTCGTCGACATCGGCAGCAGGATGATAATAAGGCTCCTCTGGTTTGATTCCATATCGTGCAAGAAGGTCTGCTGTTGGAGTTTGACTCTTCTCGGGAATCAACATCTGTAATATTAAGTCATAGTGGAAGTGGAAGGTCACATTCACACAGAGAGAAAAAACAAGAAAGCTTATTCCTGACAGCTGAATGAGCGAACACTTTATCTGTAGAAATTCAATGGTACCAAGAAAAATATGAGGAAGAAAGACTCACCTGCTTAGTTTCATCGACAGAAATATGTGAAATTCTTCCCAGCATAGGCACTATGTATTGTTTGCAAACCTGGAACGGATCATAAATGATCAGAAATGTGGACATGATTAAAAACGTTCTATAACATTTTATGAAAATGACCAACGAATGATGAACATCCTTTCAGAAAAAGTATAAGGAATGAGAGTAGGAAAGCCCAGGTGAATTGACAGAGTGTGCGAGACAATATCGGTAAAGGTGCTACTACCCAGATTCCCATGAGAAGCGGTATTGGTTCCCCGATGATTACCATATTCTTGATCTAGAAACTAGAGTTCTCTCCTTCATTAGTCGCGGCGACTCTCGATCAGGTACGGGAGCGCAATACGCGGTTCGGATAGAGGTAGTTATTAATACGCGATGATTCACAGATTTCAAGAAGGAGAATGTCTGTTCGAAATCAGCAATCAAATCATAGCAGTGCATAGATGGTACGCAAAGAAAGTAAATCGAATCCAGTTAAATCAAAAAGAGTGGGGAACTGAGTGCAAAATCTGGGTGATGCAAAGGAGGAACCAGTCAACGTAGGCCAATGTCGTTAGCAAAATCGAACCAATGAAATGATAAAAAATAACGAACTACAACGTAGAATCGAATGAGCTTAGCCTCTATCTCGAAGTTTGGGCCACTTATCGTGTTGTCATCAAGAAATATTGAATCGTCCAGCATATCAACACCCTGAAATGACTATCGCCTCAATACCGATAAAATTAGGAACCGCTAATCTCACCATCTGCATCAGAGAGATTTTCACGATTTGCTTGTCAATAGTCCATTTATTGTCCATGCTGACTTTAATAGGAACAACAAGAGCTTGTAAATCCCGACCAATGCATATGTATTCATATGGGATTCGCACACGCTTCGCTAACTCGTCAGCCATTTCCTAAAGTTAAAAGCTTTGAGAAAGGAAAAACACTAGCTAGCATTGACGTCTAACAAACAAAGTTCAGGAGTCAAGAGTAGTAATATTAGTACAAGAACTTGCCTCCTTAATCTTGGCGTAGTACTGCAAATCAAAAGGAGAAGCATACACGGCTTTCCTAGAGGGGAGAAGATCTGTTCGAGCCAGCTTTCTATCGACATCAACTACGTCGAATTGATGCCCTACTCCTGTAAAGCAGGCTTTTAGCATTTTACACTATCAAAACTGTCATAGAAGTTACGATGGCTACAGTGAGCATCTTAGCGGGCTAGGTATGAGCCGTTTGGCACAGCCACCTTGCCATTGGGCGCTTTCAGAGTACAGCGTCAAGCGTTGAGAGCCAAGCGCCGCCCCTTGGCACTCCTAGGTCGTGCCAGCTTTCGCGTCGCATCGCACGGCTCTTGCGTTGGAGTAACTTATTTCTCAAGCTGATCTGCGTAGAGCTTTTCAAACATAGTTTCGTCACATTATTCCACAGTAGTTAGATAAGAAAAAGGTGCTAAGTGGGTTGGGGGCGACCACGCGGCGCGGCATCCTGCGCTCTCTCCAGCGAGGTAGTAGAGAAGGAAGGGTAGTCGGGCCCGTAACGGTGTTTAGGGACGTTTCATAGCTTTTTTATGTTACAACAGTGTATCTTGGCGCTAAGTGGGTTGGGGGGGGGACCACGCGGCGCGGCCCCCTGCACTCTTTCCAGCGAGATAGTAGTGGGTTTGAATCTGGGAAGGAATGGTGAGGTTGTACTGGTGTTTCGTGATTCAGAATAAACTAACTCTTGGCGCATGTTGATATGCTTGCATAATATGGACCAATCTTCTTCTGAGCCGATAAAACCTATTTTTTTAAGAAGGGGAGGGGCTCCGGAGTGGGTGAGATGGTTATCTCGCGCAAAAAGCTGAGATGAGATACAAGTTGAACGCCTAATCGGCTCACCCACCCCGGAGCCCATTTTCTAAAATTAGGTAAAAATACACAGTTATAACATAAAAAAAAACTATGAAACATCCCTAAACACC